GATGTTTAACAACCTGTTAAAATACAACAAAATGCAGGAAATCCCATCTACTTTATTCAGAATCCCCCCCCCCCCCCCCCGACAATATTTGCATTCTGACATTGATCGATTAACAAATTAAATCCTGGCTACCATTAACATCCGAGTAGAGATGGCTGCACTTGGAGTGGCGCCGTAACTTGGAGGCATGAACTGAGGAGAAGTGGAATCATATAATGTCTTATGTCTAATGACTACTATGATTCACAAACTCAAAGATGAAAAATGTCTCTTGGTATCCGAAACCAAGTGGCACTCCTAAAATGTGTGGAAGTCAAAAGAAGACTTGGTGATGTTTGTCATCACACAGAAACTTTGTAATATTGGTCAACATGTGCGTCTAGCTCCTATGAGGCCAAGAAGTATTTCATTGTTTTATATATGCATATAATACATAATTTTTGGTCGGTTAAATAACCTCAAACTTCACAGCAAAACTGGCCATTTGAAGTAAAAGAAGATGTTTACCTGCAAGTCTGCAGTAACACCCAGGAGTTAAAGAGAAACAGCGTGTTGTATCCAGAAAAGAGACAATGAAACTCTTCTGTACATGAACTAAAGGGAAAAGGAATGCACTATAAACAATTGCTCATTTATTTCGTTTGAAACAACACTGAGCAACAATTAACTGCAGGGACGTTACTGTGCAAGTTAAAAGGTGCCTTTGTTTTGATATTTGTAGCAGGAGGTAATGCTACCCATCAGCAGACGGATGTGCCTTGCAGGAGAACAAGGAGGGAAGGAACGAAACGTTTGGAATGACCACCTGATGGATTTATAATGCTCAGACGAACCGCAGACACGGGAAGAAAAACAATTCCTGGAAAACAATCAGTGAAAATGACAGAGGCCTATTCTCCACAATGTCTGACCCCGGGGGCGCGACATGCCCGCACAAAGTAACTAACCGAGGAGACGGGGCGATCTTAGTGTCAAGGGCATCTGCGGCGATAATTCATCATCTCCCAGGCTGCGAGCGCCATCCCAGCTGGCACAGCAGCGCTGCGACTGATGCTCAATCAATTAGAGCCCGAACGCAGAGAACGGCGAGCACGAACACGCAACAGGAGAACAACAATATCAGAGCCACACTTCACATCTGTCATCCACCTGACACGATAACTGCACCCTCAGCAATTACTGCAGGCTTTTATTTATATTAAACAGGATGTGCTCAGTGTTCGTGATGATTTCATATGAGGCCACTTACGGCAAACTTTCAGCAAGTCTTAATTCTAAAATAAATATCACCTGACATCTTTATGTGTGAATAAACACTAAATAATTAGGACAAGTGAATTAGGATGTTAACGTTAACCTGTCAGAAGAATGTTTTTTTTTCTTTCATTTCTGTTATTTAACTTTATTTATAAGAAAACTTACGAAACAGAATGAGAGAAACTATATCAGCGTAGATGCCATCTTAATTCATCCCAGTTTTATTTTAACAGAGTTTCCCGAACTATACAGCAGATTAACATGTAAACGGAACAACCTGCTTTGGATGGAAAACCGGACATGGGCGTGAAACGAGACAATATTTATTCAGTTGTTAGCTTTTCCTCTTTCGGTCATCCATCACTTTAAGCTGGAAACAGTGAGAGCAGCGGTGCAGATGAGGGGGAGACAGATGACGAGGCGTTTTGAAGAGGAAAGCGAAGCGTTCTCTAACCGCTGAGTATGTACAGTAAATTACGCCCTGTATCACTGTCAGTGACATGTGATCATTACTGTGTTGAGTAAACGGAGGAGGCTCTCACCCTGCGTGCCAGCCCCAGGGCGATGAAACACTTCTCTCCAGCATCTGTGATCTCCAGCTCATAATAGTGGAAGCGTGTGTTTAGAGGTCGGCGAGCCTGAGCCAAGGCCACGTCTACGATGCTCTTCCCTTTCCCTACATACTCCAGCAGCTGTGAACAGATGAGAAACGTACTCACTTTAAGGAAAAAGACGATGAATTCACATGAAGACTTTGATTTAAAGAAGTTTCATGTTCAACTTTCTTTGTGATTCTAAAAAAGGCAGACATTCATGAAGCTACCCGTGTGTGTTTTTATTTATCTGTTTGTTGGTCAGACCGCTGGACAGATTTAATGAAACTTGCAGAAAGTATTTGCTGGATGTTGGTCTACAACTGATTAACATCTGGGGCCAACCCAATTCAAGATGGCTGCCACAACTAATCAACCTCAGCACAAAACTGGCCATAACTCAGTCAACTGTACAGTCTGATCCCCAACACATATTCTAACAAACCATGAAATAAATTTGTTTAAAACGTGGATATGCTCTCTGTAATGTATGGAAAATTGTTGACAAATTTGTCAGATAACACATTATAACAGTGGGAAATGGAGATGAATAACATTAACAGATGCATCATGGGAAAATGTGTGTTCGCAATGCCATAAAGGAATCAGGAGCCAGATCTGGAAAGAGCTTGACTGGAAAATAAAAACTAGATTTTTAAAAAAACTTTCATTTCCAAGAGTTCAACTACAGATAAATGCTGAAGGAATCGTGGTATGGTCGGTGACCGAACACACGTCTTTGGGGACTGTCCAAAAATTAAGACTTTTTGGGAGAACATTAAGCAGAAGATGGAGGACATTCTAAGGACAGATCTTCCCATGGACCCTCTTCTATTTCTGCTGGATATGTATCCCAAGGATTTACTCAGTAAAGATCAATGTTATATATTGCACATTCTGTTGCAAGATGCAAGAAAGACTATTACCCTAAACTGGATTAAGCCCTGCTCACTAGAGCTGTCATTTCTAACTCTATTGCTTACCAACTGTTGACCAATGGATGCAAAAACTGAAGCATGTCTATGTGATGGAGCGTCTGACGGCCCAACTACCAATGAAAATGGATATTTTCTCACAAAGATGATCACGACTGTCTATTCTAGCTGACAAATCTTTGTATGCTGCTTGATTCTGCATGTGTCTTGTTTGTTTTGATGTGTGTTTATTGAACCCAATCTCAACTTTTTTTTTTCCATCGTCTTTAAATGTGGCCTTTGTTGTTATACTTGCCGAGGCAATAAAGTAAAAAAAAAAAAAAAACTTGGGATATGCAAGTTCATATAATATACATTCCTTCAAAAGATACTAGTTTCATTAATTTAGAAATTTGAAAGATAAACATGAACATTTTCTGTTAAAGAAATAAAAGCCTAATCAATAATATAAAAGAATGCAGCTCTATTTTCTTGGTTCATTTTATTCTAACGAATAAAGGGCTTTTAGCTCAGACATTAAAAGTTAGTCACTGACTTTTGTTATTTAATATATTTGGAAAAAAATAAAAAAGAAGCTGTTTTAATCATTAAAACAGTCGATAGACTTTGGTGCGTCACCTGGATGATGCAGAACAGGTGAAAGAGTTTATTTAGGCGTTGAAATGACTGCGCTGTGCTTCACCGTTAGTAAAACCTGCCTGAATTTGACTCAACATGCCCCCGGCCTCGAAGATAAGATAACATTAGAGGTAAAAAAAAATGTTTTAGGCTTTTCTGAGATGTTTAACAGTAAAACAATTCTCATTTACTGATGAGCTTCATGGAAACGTTTAAAAATTCATGTTTAAAATAAAATGTTAATGTTCTACTGCTGTCATACGAGCTGTTTGAAACAACGAAGCAATCTTTGAATTAGGTGACAAAATGTGTTTGCAGTATCATATTTTAAAAGAAACTGTCAAGCGTCATTGGATTTATTGCGTTATTAGTTTCTGATGACATACATGGTTGAAAAGAATAATGTTTATTCACAGAAGGCAACATTATCCAGCAGATTTACTGACTTTATTCAATTGTTTAAAACGTTGTAGCTTAAAAATCTAAGAACTTCTGCATTCCAGAAGAAATGTTCTTTACTTTTATAACTATCAGCACTCCTGGATTTATAGTCTAGTTTATGGTTATGTGTCTTGTATTTATTGTTTTTTTTTTTGTTTTGTTTAAAGTTGTTTGCAATAAAATGACAAGACAAGAAAAAAAAAAGAAAAAAAAAAGACACCTTTTCTCTCAAAATTATGACAAACAAAAACAAGCTTTTGTATTTTCTGTACACACTGCCTTTGCTGCATGGCTGCAATGAGTACAACAAAGTTGGAAAACAAAGGAAATAAAGTCTAATCTTTCATTTTTTTACCCCCTACAGCTAGGAGTTGCTTTAAACTCTTTCTGCTGACATATGCAGACTTGGGAAGAGTTCATCCATGTGAGGTCTGAAATTAGAGGGTTCGTCAAACTTTACTTATTTAAACACTCAAATTAGACGGTCTGACTCAAAGTTCTTAATGATAAAGACCAACACAACTGAATCAGAAGCATTAGGTAACGCTACGGCCTTTTTCCTCATCAATCCTGGTGTCTATATTCCTCACAAAAAGCAGATTTTACTAACAAATGACTTATTTACATGTGGTTTCCCTTTAAAGCTAAATTTGTCCGTTCACTGATGGAAAGCAGCCTAAAGGGATCTGGTAAATGGCCTCTTTTCTATCTCCACATCACATTCTTGATTGTCTAACATTCAGCCTTTCGCTGCCGCTGATGTTGACTGAAGTGAAGCTCCTGAGGGAACGCATCAAGGTTTAAACAGCTCCATCTGGACTGATAAAAGCTGCTCCACGACTTACCGTGCCCGTCACCTTGACGTCATAGAGACGGGCCCAGTCCTCTTCGTGACTGTCAACTATCATCTGTGCATCATCGTCCTCCATTCCCCAATCAGCGTTCAGGTCCAGGAGCACTTCTTCCCCCAACGAGTGCATCCCTACTGCAGGGTAAAGAGCTTCAGGAGATGCTGGGATATCAACACTGCCGATCTGAGCAAACATTCAAGTTTAGGAAAACAGGTGGGGATCAACGAGAGGCACGAGAAAAATATAAACAGACAAAAAAGTTGGGCTGTTATGAAACCAGATGTCTTTGGACGCTTACTTCATCTCCATTTTTGGTAAAAAACACAGTTATCTGTCCGTCGTCGGAGTCCAATGATATTCCACAACCGATTCTGTCACCTCTGCAGCATTTGGCACCAAACTGCTGCCCGACTGTGCTGCCGTTGTAGAGCCTGCAGGGAGGAAGGCAGAACAGACTGATGGCACAATGGGACAGGTAGAGCTCATCATATTCGGAAAATACGTACAACACGGGCAGACATAAGGACATTTTCCAGGTCGTTCAGCTGAAAACCTCTTGACAAAATCTGGGTGTCAGCCAAAAGGCTGCGTGAGCACTGCCTCTAGCTTTTTAGCTAGCGCACCTGTATTGCGTGCCGCTAGCTTAGCGCTACGTCGGTGCCGGTAATTTGACAGGGGTGCAGTTCGGTTCGGTGAGAAGGGCGCTTGGTTCTGTTGACAGGGCGGGGCGCCCTGCTTGTATAATGGTAGGTGAAACACTGTATTATATTATTATTGTTTAGCGTATATCTTAGATCATTGTACCGGTATACGGTTTATTTTTATATTTTTGCTATTTTGAGTGTAACTGGGACCTTGAGTACACAATTTTCTTCCACCTCATGTACCATGTGATGCAAATGACATTAAAGTCACCTTGACCTTTAAATTCTCAACATGGCTGGTTCAGGTTTGCTCCCCCCCACAGTCAGTTTCAATGGCTCCTCTCAGAAGCAAATGGAAACCATGTTTTATGAATAATTATCAAATTAGTTTTTGGCAGAATCAAGTTTAGCCGGTTGGCCCTCTGCAACAGTCCCAGTTCCATAAGCTGCCCCCCCCCCC